AGTCCTCTTCCTCCTGCTAACTCCCTCTCCTTTTCTCTCTTACTCCCTCCAAAGTCATTCTTTTTCTCTTTATTTCCTAAGCTTTCTGCATTTTAAATACATTATTTTTTGAGATTTGTCTTTTTTTGATTTAATGGCTCACTGCAACCTCTGACTCCCTGCTTCAAGCGATTCTCCTGCCTCAGCCTCCCGAGTAGCTGGGATTACAGGCACATGCCACCGTGCCCAGCTAATTTTTGTATTTTTAATAGGGACAGGGTTTCACCATGTTGGCCAGGTTCGTCTCCATCTCCTGACCTCATGATCCACCCGCCTCGACCTCCCAAAGTGCTGAGATGACAGGCGTGAGCCACTGTGCCCGGCCATTACTTGCTTTTAAGGAGAGACACGGGGTGGCTGGGAGGGTCAGGGGTGGAAGGCGGGTCTTGCACTTTTGTACCTTGTGAATTTGGAACTATGTGATTAATATTCCCTGAAAGTAGAGATGTAGAAAACACACAAAAGCATAAAAAAAGTCCAAAAACATCAGTTTAGTAAGAATAAGTATAAGAGATAATAGTTACCTTGTTTTAGGAAGAAAAAGAAGAGAGAATTCAATCCGCTTAAAGCCTAGGGGCTTCCAGTCTCTTTCATTGTTTGCATTTTGTTCATAGGAATTTGTGACCTATTTCTGAGTGTACAAAGCCTTTGTTGCATAATTACGTTCAAGAAGCATAAGCTTATTTGTTAGAAATCTTATTCAATTCTAGTTGAGGGGGAGGTTTTCTTATGATATATTTTTATAAATCATGGTAGGGAGACCTGAACAAATGGGATCTTTCCTAGTGTTTACTTAAGGAATGGAGACCTTGCTCTCTTGCCTGTTGCTTCCTAGCTAAACAGGAAATCTGACCTCCTCTTGAGTCAAAACAGAATTAGGCTAAGACTTCTAATAATGTTTTCAAGGTGGGGAAAGGAAACTCATTGTCCATGCAACCTTGGAAAATTGCTTACCTTTACTTTACCTCAATTTCTTAATCTATAAATAAGGATGTTAACATCTACTTTATAAAATTGAAGAATTAGAGATAGTATCGTATAAATCAGTATTACATAAGCACAGAACCTGACACCTCATGTAGCTCCTTAAATTTTATTATTATATCATTATTATTATTGGTTAGTATCTGTTCATTTTAGGCCTCTTGAAGGAGTAAACACTATGAAATTGTTTTTCATTGAGAATGAATGAAAATGAATGATAGTTGTTTAGGGGAAGAAGGAGTAGTATATCAGTTATCTGTTACTGTGTAACCAACTGCTATGAATATAGTGGCTTAAATAAAACAACAATGAAGTATTATTTCTCATAATTCTGTGGTTTGGCTTGGTGGCTTTTCTGCTTATTTCCTTACACTTACTGGCATCACTGCAGTCGGATGACGACTGGAATGGGTAGATGGTCCCAGATGGTCTCACTCACATGTCTGGCAGTTGCTACTGGCTGTTGGTCAGAGCATGTTGGTTCCCCACGTGGCCTTTCATGTCCAACAGGCTAGACCAGCTTCCTTAGAGCATGGCCATCCCAGGGCAGCATTCTAAGAGGGCAAGTTCCATTGCTTGCATAGCAAGTCTCTGCTTGCTTTTGTAGTTGCTGATTTCTCAGGGTTAAGCCCAGAGTCACCGCAGGAGGGAACTTGGACTCCACCTTGATGAGGGAGGAGTAGCAAAGAATTTGTGCCCATTTTTAATATACCATCAGCCTGGTGCTTATTTGGTCTGCTTCTTGGACTAATATTAGGTCTGGAAGAAATCCTTTTGGTTTCTTAAGTTTTCCCGTGTCGTTGATACCTTCTTTCGTCCAACATAAGAGATGATAAAGGAACTGGAAGTATCATATTTGTACTAAAAATTGGAATGAAGAATAATAGCTGCTTTTGAAGCTCTTTCCTGTGAAGGAGGGACTAGTTCCAGCATTTGAAAGTGACTGGAAAGCAGATCTCTCCTCAATATAAGGAAGGATTGCTCTGTGAGATACTAAGTCCTGTTGAATGCTATCCCTCCCTCACTCTTCTGTGTTGTTGGAAGCAGTAAAGTAGAAGATGGATAGTTATGTGCTGGGGCTTTGAAGGAGGGTTTTCCTCACTGAGTGACTTGATGTATGTGATTCCATACCTCAGAAAGAATCTCAATGTTTTTATGTTGAGATGAGGGGTGGGGATGGGGTGGTATTAGAAAGGGAGAGAATTGCTGTGTTCAGACTGTGAGTTATTCTACTGAGAATTTTAATTTTACTTTATTTAGAAAACAAAGATATATTTTCTGGAAACTTTGAAAGTTGGGACTTACTATTGGTGTGAAAAAAACTTCAATTTGGCACAGTATCAGGGTGGTACTAAATCTTGAAGATAGGTTTCCTATGGGTCTTCTTGGTTTAAAATGAAAGGAATTAAGTAATGGTTTTAGGATAAGTAAGAAATAAATGTGTACAATGCTCCAGCAGCTGTAGGTTAACGAGAGAGCTTATGCAATTTGTGTAGTTAAAACAGTTTTGGGTACTTTTCCCATATCATGTACTTTGCCCTACTCAAACATGATTTTGCGATCTCCTAATTTTAATATCAAAACACTAGGCCCAAATGGTGCTATTGTTAGCCGAGAATACTGTGTCAATAACTGATCAGAATATGAGCCTGTTGCCTTTCTCTTTTTTCATTGAGACAGAGTCTTTCTCTGTCACCCAGGGTGGAGTGCAGTTTCACTGTGTCGGCTTACTGCAACCTCTCTCTCCTGGGTTCAAGCAATACTCCTGCCTCAGCCTCCCGAGTAGCTGGGATTACAGGTGTCTACCACCACGCCCGGCTAGTTTTTATATTTTTAGTAGAGATGGGAGTTCACCATGTTGACCAGGCTGGTCTTGAACTCCTGACCTGCCTTGGCCTCCCAAAGTGCTGGGATTACAGGTGTGAGCCACCGTGCCCAGCCTTTTTTTTTTTTTTGAGACGGAGTTGTGCTCTGTCACCCAGGCTAGAATATAATGGCGCGATCTTGGCTTACTGCAAGCTCCGCCTCCTGGGTTCAAGCAATTCTCCTGCCTCAGCCTCCTGAGTAGCTGGGACTACAGGCACTGCCACCATGCCCAGCTGATTTTTGTATTTTTAGTAGAGACGGGATTTCACCATGTTGGTCAGGCTGGTCTCGAACTCTTGACCTCAAATGATCTGCCTGCCCCGGCCTCCCAAAGTGTTGGGATTACAGGCATGAGCCACTGCGCCCACCTCCTTTCTCTTTTTGTGTCTTTCTTTTCTTTGTTGTAGGGAGGAGGAGGTGGAGGCTACCACTTACTCCATTGTAAAGTAGTGTGATGTAGGTGCTGCCCTTGACTTTGTTTAATGTGACCGAGCCAGCCACTTTGGTCAACAGTGTTTTCTGTGGAGCCTTCCTCATTTCCCATACTTGTTTTTTTTTTTTTTTTAGAAGACTGAGAGTAAGGCAATAAGCTGCAGTACCTACAGTGATTCAGACACAGAGTGGTGTTAGATTTCTGGTGGGAAATAGAATTGAAGTTACAAATAAATACTCTAGCTAAAGCAGAAGATTGCTTTCCTGACTGGTGCATTTACAAGCTGGGAAATTGTGGAAAACATCGACCCGCCAACTGTGTGGCTCATTGGCTCTTCTTTGGGCTTCGATGTTCTTCCTGATAAAAATAATAATTATGTTATTCCGATATGGTTGCCAAGCCGTTCGTGCTTCTCACTCTGCTTGTGACTATAAATGATTCTGCAGCATGAATTGCTTTGTCTTTGATTTAATGTTTCGTAACATTTGAGTGTTGTGTTATCTGTGCTAATTTGTCGTTCTCTTCTCTTACTTTTCAGAATGGACTGCTGAATTATGAAGTATTTCAGACCCAATAGTAGAACATCACTCTGCCACTCACTCCTTTATCTCCTACTAGTTATTTAAATTGGACTTTTAATATCCTACCAGCTGCTCTTCAGACACACATGGTGCATTGTTGCCATTCCCCAGATTGCATCTTTGAAACACAGGCTCTTAGTAACCTTCAGCGAACAAAGAGGCAACCTCCCAGATACGTCTGCTGGGAGGGAGTCATCCTGACTGCCCTCTAGCTTTTGCTGGATCTGGATTTGAATTCCACTATGGAGCCTCGCATGGAGTCCTGCCTGGCGCAGGTGTTGCAGAAGGATGTGGGGAAACGATTGCAGGTTGGCCAAGAACTGATAGACTATTTCTCAGACAAACAGAAGTCTGCTGACCTTGAGCATGACCAGACCATGTTAGATAAACTTGTGGATGGACTTGCTACCTCTTGGGTGAACTCTAGCAATTACAAGGTAAGCTGTGCTTTAGAAGGCACTTTTGGAGGTGGCTGGGCTGCATTGGTAGATCAGAATTGACCCTTATAAAAATGCCTTGTGAGCAGTCAGCATGCTTCCTTGGTTTCCAGTAAGATGCTCAATCAGATTGTGGCCTTGGGTTGTTTCATTCTGGAGAAAGTAGTGTTTTCTTTGATACTCATCGAAGATCAAAAAATTCTTATCCTTTAGCACTTTGACAGAAGGTCAAGTGAACAGATAAGGGGAGGCTTTTTTTTGCTGGAAAGTTGGCAAGCATTTGTAGCCTTGAAGTTAATGTGTATATTGTGTTTTGCAGCAAATAGGTCCTGAGACCTTGGTGAGTTGCCCTTTATAAATAACAAATGTCTTCACTGATTTTCTCTGGGGGATTGAATTGGTAATAGGGTGTGGAGCATTTTACCTTCAGGTCACTGTTGTGAAGCTGGCCCAGGTACCTGGACAGAAATAGGTTGTCAAGGACTTTTCTGTGACCTGTGTGTAATGGCCTAGAGGATATCTTTCAGGATATAAAGGTCAAGGCTGTTCATGTGACCTTGGCAGGGGCTGGTGGTGGGGGCCAGGTCCCATGGGTCAAATGAGTTGTGAAGGTTGACCATTTTACCTTTCAGAGACAGTTTTTGTGAATGAAAACTAGATTGAACTTGAAGTGCTGAAGAGGTGATGTTCCTCTCTCTGCTTCCTCCCCTATCCCCATCCCCTTACTCTCTCTTTTCATTTCCCTAGAGGGTGGCCCCTTTGGGTCAAGGTTGAGATGGAAGGAAGAGTGAAAAGCTTGCACGACTGCTAATAGGTGCTATAGACATTGTTGAAGGGGCTTACAGAAATAGAATATTTTGTGCTGTTTTCATTGACTCAATCTTTTGAGATTGGTTTGGACTTAAAAAGTCACAGGACTCCTTTGCTCTGTTATGTACTCTTGTTTTCTAAATACGTTACCTATGGCCCTAATACTTCACTCATCACTGGATATAACATTTATCCTACCTGTCTTCATATATTTATTTTCGAGACTGAGTCTTGCTCTGTCACCCAGGCTGGAGTGCAGTGGCTCTATCTCGGCTGACTGCAACCTCCACCTCCTGGGCTCAAGCAGTCCTCCCACTTCAGCCTCTCAAGTAGCTGGGACTACAGACATGCACCCCCATGCCCAGCTAATTTTTGTATTTTTGTACAAACAAGGTTTTGCCATGTTGCCCAGGCTGATCTTGAACTCCTGACCTCAAGTAAGCCACCCGCCTCCTCGTCCCAAAGTGCTGGGATTACAGGCCTGTGCCACCGCGCCCAGCCTATCCTACCTGTCTTAAAACTCTGGCTAAAATTCTATTTCATTAATCTGTTTATTCACTTAGCTGAAATTATCGGTTGCTTCTTAACGTGTTTCGCATTGGTGCTGGATGGTGGGAGTGTTAAAAGAGATGAGAGGTGATAGAGTCTAGTCACTACAATTTTGTTCTTTCTTAAAAGTTATTTGTAAAAATTGACAAATAATTTTACATACTCGTGGGATACCTAATGATGTTTTGATGAATATAATTTGTAGTGATCAGGTCAGGTTAATTAGTTAGTATATCCATCATCTCAAACATTTATCATTTCTTTGTGTTGGGAACGTTTAATATCCTCCTTCTAGCTAATTGAAACTATATTACTGTTAACTCTAGTCATCCTACAGGGGTATATAACACCAGAAGTTATTCCTCCTGTCTAGCTGTAATTTTGTATTCTTTAACAAATCTCTTCCTACTCCTCTCTTCCTCCTATCCTTCCCAGCCTCTGCTATCCTCTCTTCTGCTTTTAACGTATGCGATCAACTTTTATTTAGCTTCACATATGAGTGAGAACATGTGGTGTTTAGCTTTCTGTTCCTGGCTTATTTCACTTGACATAACGCCCTCTAGTTCCATCCATGTTGGCTGTGAAGGACAGAATTTTATTCTTTTTCATGGCTGAATAATACTCCATTGAATATATATACCGTATTTTCTTTATCTATTCTCTGTTGTTGGACATGTAGGTTCATTCTTTGCTGTTGTGAATAGTGCTGCAGTGAACATGGGGGAGCAGATATCTCTTCCATATTCTGATTTCTTTTCCTTTGGATAAATTCCCACTACTGGGATTGCTGGATCCTATGGTAGTTCTGTTCATAGTTTTTTAAGGAACTTCCATACTGTTTTCCATAGTGGCTGTTCTAGTTTACTTTCCCACCAACAGTGGGAAAATGATAAATGCTGCATCCTCATCAGCATTTATTATTTTTTGTCTTTTTGATAATAGCCAACCTAACAGGGGTGAGATGATACCTCATTGTGGTTTTGATTTGCATTTCCCTCATGATTAGTGATGTCGAACATTTTTTCATGTATTTGTTGGTCATTGGTGTGTCTTTCTTTGAGAAATGTCTGTTCAGATTATTTGTCGATTTTTAAAATTGGATATATGTATTTTTTTCTGTTGAGATATTTGAGTTCCTTGTTTATTCTAGATATTAACCCCCGTCTGGCTGGTCCAATGGTAATGAGTTATCAGAATTTAACATAGTGTCACTAAAGTTGGTATATGACTCCCCACTGCTAAATTTGACTGGCTTAAAAAAAAAAATCTCCTGTCAGAGGAGTAATTTGCAAATATCTTCTCCCATTCTGTAGCTTGTCTTTTTACCTTGTTGTTTCTTGGTTGCCCTGAAGCTTTTTAGTTTAATATAATCCCATTCGTTCATTTTTGGTTTTGTTTCTTGTGCTTTTGAGGTCTTATTTATAAAGTATTTTCCCAGACTAATGTCCTGAAACATTTCTTAAATGTTTTCATCTAGTAGTTTTATTGTTTTGAGTCTTACATTTAGGTCTTTGATCCGTTTACACTTGATTTTGTATGGGGTGAGAGATGGAGATCTAGTTTATTCTTCTGCATCTGGATATCCAGTTTCCCCAGTATCATTTATTGAAGAGACTGGCCTTTCCCCAGTGTGTGTTCTTGGTACCTTTGTCAAAAGTCAGTTGGCCATAGATACCTGGATTAATTTCTGTGTTCCCTGTTTTGTTCCATTGGCCTATGTGTCTGTTTTTATGACAGTACCAGGTTGTTTTGGTTATTACAGCTTTGTAGTTTACTTTGAGGTCTGTTAGTGTGATGCCTCTAGCTTTGTTCTTTTTGCTCAGGGTTGCTTTGGCTATTCAGGGTCTTTTGTGGTTCCATACAAATTTTGGGACTTTTTTTTCTATTTCCGTGAAGAATGTCATTGATATTTTGGTAGAATGGCATTCAATCTGTAGATTGCTATTGTCATTTTAACTATATTAATTCCTCCAATCCATGAGCATGTGATGTCTTTCTATTTGTTTGTATCCTCTTCAGTTTCTTTTATCAGTGTTTTGTAGTTTTCCTTGTAGAGGTCTTTCATCTCCTTGTAGAGGTCTTTCATCTCCTTGGTTAAATTTATTCCTAGGTATTTTATTTTTGGTAGCTGTCATAAATGGAGTTGCCTCCTTCTTCTTCTCTTGTATTTTGGAGATGGAGTCTTGTTCTTTTGCCCAGGCTGGAGTGCAGTGGCATAATCTCAGCTCACTGCAGCCTCTGCCTCCTGGGTTCAAGCGATTGTCCTGCCTCAGCTTCCCGAGTATCTGGGACTGTAGGCGTGCACCACCATACCCGGCTAATTTTTGTATTTTTAGTAGAGACGGGGTTTCACCACATTGGCCAGGCTGGTTTCGAACTCGTGACCTCTGGTGATCCACTCACCTTGGCCTCCCGAAGTGCTGGGATTATAGGCGTGAGCCACTGTGCCCTGCCGGAATTGCCTTCTTGATTTCTTTTTTAGCTAGTTGTTTGGTGTATAGAAATGCTGCTCATTTTTGTATATTTTGTATCCTGTAACTGTACTGATTTCGGTCATCAGTGGTAAGAGTTTTTTGGTAGAATCTTTAGGTTTTTCTGTATATGAGATCATGTCATCTGCAAATAGGGACAATTTTACCTACTCTTTCCAATTTGGATGCCTTTTATTTCTTCTCTTGCCTAATTGCTCTGGGAAGGACTTCCAGTACTATGTTGAATAAGAGGGTGAGAGTGGGCATATTTATACTGTTCTAGTTCTTAAAAGCCGAAAGCGGGCTGGGTGCAATGGCTCATGCCTGTAATCCCAGCACTTTGGGCGGCTGAGGCAGGCAGATCATGAGGTCAGGAGTTCGAGACTAGCCTGGCCAACGTGGTGAAACCCCATCTCTACTAAAAATACAAAAATTAGCCGGGCATGGTGGCACACGCCTGTAATCCCAGCTTCTCGGGAGGCTGAGGCAGGAGAATTGCTTAAACCCGGGAGGCAGAAGTTGCAGTGAGCCAAGATCATGCCACTGCACTCCAGCCTGGGTGACAGAGCAAGACTCCATCTCAAAAAAAAAAAAAAAAGCTGAAAGCTTTTCCTCATTCAGTCAGATGTTATCTGTTATCTATGGTTGTTACATTTTTAAGGTCTGTGAAATCACTTTGTCTGTGTTTTTGAGTCACAACTCCACCACTTTTTCTATGTGCATATTAGGATGCTTCTAAGAGTAATTGGAAACTGACTCAAATGACCTAAAGTTCTCCAAGGAAATCTAGTGTCTCAAATAAATCCAGTAGTAGTTAAGGCAATGTCCAGGGAAGGAGAATATCTTCTTGTGCCTTTCACTTGGGGGAAGGAAACCTTTCTCAGAAGCTCCCCAGCAGACTTTTCTTTCATCACATTTGCCAGAGTGGCTTTGCGTGCCCACCTCAGCACCACTGGAAAACGAGTGTCCGTGATTTCTTTTGAATGTCATGCTTAACCTACTGGTCTTAAGTGGAGGCCTCCCTTGAGTGAAGCATGTGACCATGTGAAAGAGGGCGGATGCTTGAATAGTGTCAGGCTCCTAATAGGAAAAGGAGGTTTGGGATGGAACTGGGTTAGCATGGATGTTAAATTATTAGGTTGGTGCGAAAGTAATTGTCTTCAAGGAGCT